AACAAAAGGCAGACAAGCCGCTGATTTTTCATCAAGGTGTTGCTTCCAGCATATGCTCTGGCAGCTGCTCGAGCCAAGCAATATAAAACAGCCATGCCTGTTGTATTAATTGATCTGATTATATATTTAGTTAGCCGCTGGGTAATGATTGCTAACAAATTTTAAGTCATAGCTGGAGAGAACATTTGATCCAGACTGACTCAAAGCTCTGATGTTTTTGGAAGGTTGGGGAGTGTCCTGAAGCGAAAGGTGAATATAAATCCTTGTCTGATTGATCCTCTGAGAGAAAAAAGCACTACAAGTACAGCAACAGAGCTCAGTATAAAGCAGCACCAGTGCACATAAAAGTTACTTTCCAGGGCAGATAAATGAGCAAATTCTGCCTTCCTGCACAGTTTCATCATTCTGAGTTGCGTCAGGCTCAGCTTCGCTGGATGTCACATGGAAACAATATTTATTCAGTGTTTTGGAGCCGAAGTAATGGTTTAGATGGATTTCTGTTTGTGCAGTTGCATTATGTGTGAAATATAAAGCTGTGCTAATGTGGCAAGTCAGATACCGTCCTTAAGCGCATTTGCATTGATTGATGGATTTTCAGTGATTAGCTTTTTTTTTTTTTTTTTTTTTTGCTTCATCAGAAAATATAAGTGCTCAACTCTGTTTTGGGTGTCTTAATCAGCAGGCTTGAACAGAATACGATTTGTCATTTCATGTCTCTCCACCCTCAATATTTTATAATGTGAAAATTCCTTTAAATGGAGCATCATTTTAAATCATTGAATGACCTTAATGACATTTTCCCCTCAGTTAGTTACCATCACGTCTCAAGATGCTTCCTCTATTCTTTTGGTAAAGTAACACCTGCTGAGTCACTGTGTTGTCAAGCACAGCCATCCAGGAAAGCGGTTAAAACACACTGAAAAGGTGTGAGAGCCAACTCGGTAGTGTTTTCAGTAACATGCCTATGTGTTATAGCAGTGTTTTACCATAGACATCATCATTTGACAGTTTTGTATTGATTGCAGTGACGGCAGTAATAGCTGTGCTGGTAATTAATTGCACATAACAGATAAAAATCTGCTCCAAAGCCAAAAACTAGAAATGCTGTTTATGTAGCGGGATAATTAGGCCGACTGCAGGAGTGGCGGCTGAAGACGTCACAATCATGCTCTGTTTTTTGCCGTGCTTGCTTGTCAAGGTGCTTTTTTTTTTTTTTTCTTCAGCCGAGATAAAAAGTGATTGAAAAGTTGTAAACAGAGGAAATATTTCATCATTTTGCTCACAATATAGATTTGCAGTTATATTGGACAGACAGATGGAGCAGACACGACATTCTTCCCCAATACTGTGTATGTTTCCCAAAATGCCGCCAGCTGTGAGATGTCAGGGCATAGACCACATCTCTGAATGTTCTCTGTGGTGTCAGAAACCAGCATTAACCTGGGGGTGAGGTGGCGCCTTCAAGGATTTGGCTTGTTTTTCCAGCTCATCCCGGAGATAAGATTCCATATTTGCAATATTTTTGCACCAGTTTAAGTGAAAGGCATGGGAGCTGAATCTGCCTGTTAGAGAAGGTGCTCTGCTGCCTGTCCAGTAAGTGGTGCAGAGGGTCCATTCAGCACCACTTACTGGACAGGAGACTTTTGGCTTCAAACAGTGAGCTAAGCTTCCTTAGATGCTCAGCTTCATTGAGATATGAGGAGATATCTGGGGGCCACCTCTTCTGAACAGTGTTTGTGAGGCAGGGTACTTTATTAGGAATACTGTTGCTGTTAAGGGATGTACACCAGTGTTTTAAGTAACATTCACATCAATGGGAGGACCGAAGGTTTCCCAGCAGACCATTTCTGAGAGCAACACACAGCTTCTGTGGGACTCTACTGAGTGCATTCTGCTGCTATCTCTTCCTCATGAAAGTGACACACGATCTCTAGTTCCCATGATGTAAGAGGTCAGCATGTGACCAGTCAGCAGTCACACAACCCATTTGCAGCATGATGTGGTACATAGACCTTTTCACCACAGTCAGCATTACACTCCCTTGTTCTTTGGAAAAAACAAACTAACCCGTATAACCACTGCATACTGGGAGCACGTATCTAGACTTGGTGTTTGGGAGGTTCATTGACTAAGTGAGCCGTCAGAATTTATCCCGGTATTGTTGAGATCCTTACACTTCCTTATTTTTCCAGCTATCAAGACATCAAGTTCAAGAACTGACTTTCCACTCTCTGCCTCATAAATCCCACGTATTAACAAGTGTGAACATTCAGAGTCACTGTTACCGTCTTCACCTGCCAGTGGTTTCTGTGCAGTAGCTAACTAGTGTGTTTGTGTGTGTGTGTGTACAGTATGTGTGCATCCTTCCATCAAATGCTGCCAATTACAGCTTGATTTAAGACGAACGTTTTTATGCGTCTGCATAAATACGAAGCAAAGTGTTTCTGAGGTGAACACAGCTTCATTTGCATCACATGTGTGAGCGTCACGTGTATTTTTACAGTCTGCACTTTACAGTGAATGTGTCCGTGTATGTGTGGGTTAACATTTTTGTGAGCACTAACCAAGCGGAAATGACAGTAATTAACTAAATGAGCTACATCTGCACCTGGGGCTTAGTGAGATAAAGGGAAATACAAACTAAATATGAAGCTGCTCTGCACTGTAAATGTAAGCAGTGCTCTTACTTGGAGTAAATGGTGCATTTAACTTATTTATACTAGTCTTTTCATTTGAATTTTCCTGCACTATTCGCCTTTTATACTGGTTTTATGTGGAGCATAGAGACTCATTGGATTATGTTTTAGTTAAAATAATTAGTTTGATAATGTTGTCATCATGTAATTTCTATTAGGCTGTTTAGACTTGTTGTGTGATGTGATATTCAGTGTTTATGTGGCCAGAAATAAGGTTAAAGTTTAGCTACAGTGCAGTAAGAGCGAGTCTCTTGTAGCATTCCTTGTTCATAACCATGTACAGTGTTGGGAAGGTTACTTTAGATTACACAATACATGGCCCAACATGTATTTTGTAATGTATTCGGTTAAGTTACTCAATGTGAGTAACGTACTCTGAATACTCTGGATTACTTGATATATCATGCTTTTTACAACTACATGAATGTACTATTACTGAAGGCTACTCATCACCAAGCTAACATTGTTAGCTGAGGTTAGTTCATAGACTGCAGACTGTTAGACTTGATGGATAGTATTAACAACCTGCTAGCTGCAAATAATGATGTGCAGTTCTGAAAGCAATATCAACAAGATTTGGTAACAGTAGGGTGGACATTAGGTAAGGCTGCACTTTTTACAGTGATCTCGTATAGAAAACTATGTCTGTATCAGTAATATGTTTTCTTTCACAGGATTATTTGCAGCTAGCAAGTTGTAATGCAGCCTTCAGTAATAGTAATAAATCACACAGCAATAGTACATCGAAGATACTGAAGTGGCACATAACCCAGGTAGTTACCACAACTAAAACAAGTTAGTTGCATGCTGGGCATGCACTTTATGCACGATTTTTTTTCAGTTGCGTTATTCAGCTCCTGCTCAAACTGTAAGACTGAATCTCAGGGGTTAGAAGTTCGGATTTCAAAACAGGTTTGATTTTCTTGTGACCATACAATTGCTGATCGGGAGCTGGTCGTGAGATGTTAATCGCTTCTCATTACCCCATGTAAAACTACACGATGCATAAACACACGATTAAGGCAAAACTCAGGCCGATCCCCAAAATGGTCGCACAAGTGAAAAATCGTCTCACAATGGACCAAAAATCGCAGTGTATGCCCAGCTTTAGTTTTAAAAAGAACTTATTTCAAGATGTTTGTTTAGGTCGGAGGTGGAGTCTTTTGACACTGAAAGCAGCTTGGTTGCTGGCAAACAGTTTGCATTGCATGGTCAGATTTCACCCATCCCTTTCTTCTATATCCTCCTAGGACCTGGTGTCCACATATATGGACATCACATTTTGGGTTGTCTAGACCAAAATACTACGTACGAGGACATTGCAAGCTTTGAGTTGCTTAAGGAAAAGTTGACTAGTGCCCCTGTTCTAGGCTATGCTGACTTCAGGCTCCCTTTCACGCTGGAAACGGATGCTAGCAGTCTTGGATTAGGCGCTGTTCTGTCCCAGAAGCGGGGGGGAAGGAATAAAGTCATAGCTTATGCTAGTAGGAGGCTCAGAGGGGCTGAGAAGAATGATCAAAACTTTAGCAGCACGAAGCTCGAACTCCTAGCATTAAAGTGGGCAGTCTCAGAAACATTTAGGAGTTATCTGCTGGGGTCCAAGTTCACAATCATAACGGATAACAATCCCCTGTGTCACCTGCCCACTGCTAATTTAGGAGCCATTCAACAGAGGTGGGTAGCTCAGCTGTCTGTGTTTGACTTCGATGTTAAGTATCGCCCTGGCCGCTGCAACACTGCCGCTGATGCCCTCTCTCGGCAACCAACAGTTGACAAGGCAGAACCTGACAGTGAGGATGCAGAATATGATGGCTCTATAGCCATATGTAATGTGCTAAGGGCAGGTACAAGTCTAGGCTCAGATCTTGTCATGGCTGGAGTTGAGGCTTGTAGGATCAGACTGCTGCAGGCCTCCGAACCAGATGAGGAAGCAGTCAGTGAGGCTGTGCTGGGCAACACCCCAACGATGCCTGGTTATTCCAATGCAGAACTCTATCGCTTCCAAGTGTCAGACCCAACAATTGGTGTCTTGAGAGAGTTTTGGAGCAGACAGAAGAGACCTACCTACAGAGAGGGGGTCTGTCTAAACCGGTACGTTCTCTACTGAAGCAGTGGCCTCGGATCAGAGAAAAGGATGGACTGCTATACCGTGTGATTGAGGATGCTCACCTTGGACAGTGCCATCAGCTGCTACTACCTGCCTGCCTTAAAGAAAAAGTGCTCAGGAGTGTGCATGATCACATGGGACACCAGGGAATCGAATGCACACTGGGATTGTTGAAACAAAGATGTTTCTGGGGGGGCATGTTTGAAGATGTTGAGCACTGGGTGAAGAAATGTCAGAGGTGTGTGTTAACAAAGAAGCCTAAACCCAAAGTTCAGGCACCCCACGCTCCATTTTTGGCTACCCGCCCACTTGAAATTGTTGCTGTTGACTATACCACCCTTGAGCGGGCTACAGATGGTCGTGAAAACATTCTTGTAATGACTGATGTGTTCACCAAGTTCAGTCAGGCATTTGCCACACAAGATCAAAAAGCAGATACCACAGCTAAGATTATCCTGAAAGAGTGGTTCATGAAATATGGGGTACCAGAGCGCCTGCACTCAGACCAGTACAGGAATTTTGAAAGCGCAGTGATTGCTGAGCTATGCAAACTGTATGGAGTGAAGAAAACTCATACAACACCCCACCACCCTCAGGGTAACCCACATTGTGAGAGGTTCAACAGGACTTTGCACAACCTCTTGCGTACGCTTCCCCCTGAGAAGAAGCAGCGCTGGCCCGAGCATCTGTCAGAGCTGGTGTATGCTTACAATGTCACGCCGCACTCGACCACAGGGTATTCTCCCCATTACCTGCTGTTTGGAGTCCACCCACATCTACCCATTGATGCATTGTTGGGCCGGGAGGAAGTAAAAGATGACAAACTAGACTCCAGGATGCACACGCCAGAGCCAGAAAATTTGCCGAACGGAAGGCTGCAGAGAGAGTGGTTCAGCAACAAGGAAAGGTGTTCTGTCCACCTGTTGACATCGGACAGTTTGTGTATCTCCGTTACCGACCACCAGGAAGGAATAAAATTCAAGATGCCTGGGCAGCCCCTGTGTATAAAGTGGTTTATATCCAAGGAACAACATACACAGTAGTGCCACTAGAAGGAGGGCCGGTGGAAAGAGTCCACAGATCTAACTTGAGGCCATGCGTGGGGTCTATACCTGCACCCAAGCCAAGGCTACGTGACCAGGAAGTCAGTTCTGCAGATGAGCACCAAGTGTCTGATACGGAGGTTGAGCATCCAGAGTTTGCCTTGATGGAGAAGGTCCAGTACCCCATGGAGCTGCCAGTGGCTCAGGGACCTGGGAACTTGGTTCCGACGGTCGACGAGCCTGGAGACCAATTGGAGAATGGAACTGAAAATGTGGGTGAGGATCTACTAGGGCAGGAGAGCAGTGACAACCCTGATGACCTCGAGGTGGAGCCAGCAGCTTATCTTCCACCTGGACCAGGAAGCATTGGATTCTCCAGCGAAGAACCGGTGGCGAAACCTGTTCCAGCTCCTAGGAAAGGAAAAAGAGAGAAAGCGGAGGCAGGTCCACCCACACCTGCTACACGCAGGAGTAGGCGAGAAACTGCAGGGGTCCACACAAACCCATTTAATCTACCTAGGTCAGCATGCAATGCAGTATCCTTCAGTCCAGATGTACTCTCCCAGGTGTTAGCCGGTATGGTTCTCTACACCACCAAACTCAGGGGAATGGTGGATGAGCAGGGGGTCACCGAGGACATTGACTCATAGCAGGGGAGAATGTAGCCAAGTGAACTAATACTACGCATGGAAAGGGTTTTAAAAAGAGGGGATTGTGTTTTTGACTGATTGCCTGTCTACCAGAGGTCTGTTGTAGAGTTGTCATGGTGATGACTAGACCTTGCATTTTGGGGGTATACTGTCCCTTTAAGAGACACCATGGCTAGCTACACAAGAGGTAAATGTGCTAAAAAGTGTAGCATACTGCAAAATATTGTCACCAGTGTTGGAGTAGGCTGTAATTAGCTACGTTTCTTTAGCAATGACTCCATGTTTGTGACCATTTCTGTAGAGCTCTTAATGCGCGACGGGCGCATGTTTAATGGTCACGTGCTGTGAAAGGGACTGAAGAGCGGGTTGGCGTGAGTAGTGACAGTGTCCTAACAGATTTCAAAGTTGTTAAGTTTACACTGTTATTCATTATTCATTATTTGCATAACTCTGTATGTTTCTGTTTGATTCAGAGGGGAGATCACTTGCTGTGTGATTCCTGCGTGTGTACTTGTCCTAGCACAGTAGCTGTGTGGAGAAACCGAAGTGAGTTCATGATGTTCTCCCATAGAAATGTATGTTTAAAAGAGAGTTTACAGTGCACTTTATTGCCAGTTGACCTGCGAAGTTGTGGGATGTAAACAATGTGTTTATTTGTTTTGTTTTCTCTTTTTTCGTTGTATTTGTTTCTTGACAGGTCACTACTGTTGTCTATACTGTTTGAATTTAACATGTACATATGATAGTTACTGTTGTCTCAGACCCTGAAAGGCAGTTTTAGGCTGAGCCAGTGAAATAGTTAAATTTTGCCGTTTCACTCAAAACTACAGAATTAAAACTGTGCTCCTCCGAGTACAGTCGGAGAATAAAAAAGCCCACAAGAGTATTTCCTGTGTCCTGTCTCATTCCCCATGACCGGGCCACATATACTTAACATGTCTCACACTCATACAGTAAGACAAATGGTGGGGGTCTAGTAAGGAAGTTGGGGGAAGCAGACAACTCCACAAGAAGAGTCTTTTGTCTCCTCGAGGACTCTGGAAGGTAGCGAGGGCGTGTGAACCTTGAGGTGTGAAACAGCTTTTGTTCCTGGAGAAAGTATTTAACTGAGAACCATGCTAGGCTCAGGGAGACTCTGCTGACCGTCTGTCCCGCGGTCATGCAGGGACTTCATCAAGCTTGCTTGTCTGTTCTTTGTGTGTTTGGATTAAAGAATGTTAGCTACCGCTCACCGCTCGTCTGCAGGCTTTATTTAAATGGAAAACTTCCACAACAGGCAAAAAAAAGCTTTTTGCTAAAAAAAAAAAAAGAAGATTTAGAGCAGAAGTTTTTTGCACTGCATTTTAAAATGAAAGCATATGGCATTTATTTACAATTAAAGACACACAGAGCAGGAGGTGTGTTACTGTTTTACATTCACAGACACACAAGAAAAGAATCAGGCAACATGAGGTCAAGTTATGGCAATTTTATTTGTGTATTTCAGTACATGTATTTAGATTAGAGTTTTTAAAAAACAAACAAACGTCCCAAGAAGAAGGATGGGGTGAAAGAAAGGTGGAGAGAGGGAGGAAGAAACTATTGATTCCTCAAACTCGATGCTGCTGGGTCAGTTCTTTCTCAGCAGTCTGCTCCAGAATCCCCTCCTGTCCTCGGCTTGCTTTTCTTTTGCCTTCAGTCTCTTTTAAGGTTTTGTTGAGCTGCTCCTCGGCATCTTTAAATTTTTCTTTCAGCTGCTGTTTGGCCAGTTTCACTTTCTGTTTGAGGAGCTCTTTAGCTTCCTTTTTGTGCTTTCGTATTTCTTTAAGTGCGTCTTTGCAGTCTTTCTTGGTCACCGCAGAGCCGGTCATTTCTTTCTTGAATGCCTTCACCTCAATTTTCTCTTCTGCAAGTTCTTCTTGCACTTTCATCAGTTCCTTCTTCATGTTTTGAGTGTAACTCTTTGTATCTTCCATTTCTTTCTTTGCTTCCTGTATTTTAATTTTCTCTTCCTCCAACACTTTTTGAGCTTCCAACAATTCTTTCTTCATATTTTCAATCTCATTTTCTGCCTCGTGTTTACTTTTTTCTCCTCTTCAAGTTGTTGCTTTACATGCAGTAATTCCTTCCTTAGTGTTTCAGCTTCAGCCATTACATTTGCAGCTTCTTGTGTTGCCAACTGCATTTTCCTTTTTCCCTCTTCAAAAGCTTCCTGCACCTCCTGTAATTCCTGTATCACATTTCCTGCCTCCTTCTTTGCAGTTTGATATTTATTTTTGGCTTCTTGTGCTGTGCTTTTCTCTTCCTCCAATGCTTTTTGAGCTTCCAACAGTTCTTTCTTCATGTTTTCATTCTCGTTTTCTGCCTGTTGTTTTCCCATTTTCTCTCCTTTAAGTTTGAGACCCACATGCAGTAATTCCTGCAATACTACTTCAGTTTCAAACTTTGAATTTTTAGCTTCTCCTCTTGATTTTTCTGCCTCTTCTTTTAATTTGACATTTTCAGCCTGTATCATTTGAAATTCTTCTTGCAGGTTAATCAGCTGTACTGTATTGTATGGTGAAGCACTCGCCGATCCTCTTCTCGTTCTCCCTCGATTCATTTTGGCCTTTTAAACAAAGGAACCAACGTATTGTAGAGGAGTGAAGTGAAGTTTTCGATGTTTTCTTCGTCAACTGTCGTTTGTCCTGCACAGAGATGCTGCTGTAGATGTGTCTCTAGCTGTGTCTGGATACAATGAAACATGCTGTAACTAAGTGCTTGTGTTGCACAGTTCTACTAAACATTCCATTCCATGCATGCTCCGCCCACATGGTCAGGAATGTCAGGTGCTGCATCGCCAAATGCTGCTCCATTGCCTAGCAATAACAGCTGTTTACTTTTTGGGGTCTGGTTCATTATTTAATAAAGAAAACATGTCCAAGTACTGGGTGCTGAGGCTCAGCGCATATTCTAGCCTGCTGCCTGGGTGGGCAGCTAGAAATCACTGGTGGGCAACATGAGTGAGGAGAAAACTGGAGCAGCCAAGCAGGGAGCTGCCGCTGTCCTATTGAAATATAAAGCGAATGTCCTCATATGTGGATCTCATTGTTCTCAGAAACCAAAGTCAGGTAAATAAAAATAATTAATAAAAATCACGTAATTCTTTGCTTTTACATTCATCAGGTCCCAATCAGCTCAAATAGCAAAGAGAAATTAAAAATTCTTGCCATGAAAGAGTTCGGGTCTTAGGAGGTTTAATATGAAGTGCTGTCAGAATTTTCCAATTAAGAAATGCATTCCCGCCCATGCACTGCTGGCTCTGTTGTGCTGGCTCTGGGTCCATTGTGTAACTGACACCACCAACATTAACAGGACGCTTACATTAGAGCCTCTTATTGCGTGTTTTGTTTGGGTTTCCAGCAATGCACGGTATTACCAAAATTAGAGAGGGGATAGCCTAACATATGAAACAGGAAAAGACCGCTGTGTAATCAATTTATTTCAGTGGTAACTGTATCAGAATAGCTACTCGTATTTTGGATTTTAAGTACGATATGTGATATGTGGTGTATATAGGAATTTTGATTAAATAATAAGATATTTCCCCCACACACATAATGTGCAAACATTAAAAACAAGAGAAAAAGAAAATCTAAGGCATAACAGAAATGCACCATTTAGCTTTTTAAGTGAGAGACAAATGAATGTATCACAATAGTATCTGACACTAATGCAAGTGTGTCATAAAACAACAGAAACGCACACACAAACACCAAACAGCACTGAAGATACCCTGTGTATACAACAAAAACAGACTCAGTCACCGAGAGCGAGTTATGCATACTAATATCTGTCTGTCACAGCAAATACTTACTGTACGAGTAAATGATGTGTAACATAGTCAAGCTGCACTTTGTAGCCAGGCGCCCAACGTATTATAAAGGAAGTGACTGTCTCACTTTCTTGAGGTTTAAGTTTGCATTGGCCACCCTTCCACAGGTTTAAAGAGATGTGATGTTCAGTAACCTTTGTGTGTGTCTGAGGCCTGCTGTGCTCCCACAGTGTGGTTAGCTGAAGCAGAAGGGAGACAACAGATAACCCATGTATTTTTTCACAGTTAATTGGGCCTCCTTTCAAATGACCGCAAACAAAGCAGCTGGAGTATCTGGTTTCAATTTGACATTTAGTGTCTGAGAGAGGGTGTAAAAGCTCTCCGTCTATTACTTGACAGTAATAGACGGAGCTGACAGGGCTGGAATATAGAGAGAGGATGGGCTATGATACATTTGTATTTGTCACAATGAGGAACTCAAAATGAATAAAACATTTTTCTTTTTCTTTTGAAATATGAGCCATGTGTGCTGCTTTAAACTGACTGGGGTAATGACAAGAATGAGCTTAACTATGGAGACTGAAGCACTCACTTCTCCCACTGAAAACGCCACATCCAGATGAACAGAATCATCAGCATTAAGTGTAGTGCTCTGAGCGTCTTCACTTGTGAATTCATCTGGTTCCAGTTGAGAACTTGTCCCAGATTGTCCAGTCAAGCTACATAAAGACGGCAGGGAGTTCATTTTTAACTTTCCTCCATCTTTTCAGATCAGTGTTCGAGATCGTGTGAGTGTCATGGCTCCTTATATTCTGTTTGAGATTTCAGAGCTGGGATGTGTGATGTGCAGCCTCGTTTCCAACAAGCTGCACAGACTGTATCAACATCTGTCTGTGGACAATTAAGAAAATGATGACTAGCATGTAGACAGCAGTGCACCTCGGGAAAAATGATTTAGGATAACTGATTTTTTTTTCTTTACTACTCAAATGATGCCAGAGTGTTGACTATATATAGATCGTTGATGCATACGTCTCCTGTGCCATCACTGAAAGAAAATCCTGAACAGATGGTTTGATGTAGTCAGTGAAAAACTGCACGTTTTCCTGCATTCATCTTTATGAAAAGGATTTCTTTGCATCTGGAAAATTGAACAAATAGAGCAGCAGTAAAGAAGAAGGCACTGAGGTCCCTGTTTTTGAGACAAGAGCAACAGATCATCAGCATAAAGTGAGACATTAGGCTGTAGTGGCTGGTTTGATGACCGACATCTGCAAAAATCCATAAAATCACATTTTATCCAACACATAATGATGTTTTCTCCAGACTGTGGGGAAACACGTTATCTCCCATGGAAAAAGTTATGTCTGGATAACCAGAATCAACTTTTTGAGATTTCCTTACCTGGATGATTGAGCATGCATCAACACACTTTATCAGAAACTACTTAGAAAGCTACTTTCAACTGCTTTCTTGTTCACAAGGGGTCACAGCACTACAGTTGATGGATCCACATGTTTGATTTGACACAAAATTGACATCAAATGTCCTTCTTGACACGCACCATCCAGTGATTTGTGTCACCCGATCACAGCTTCTATAAGCGGTTTTCTATGTTAACTGATTACTCAGAGCCTCATTCACCCAGTCACTCACATTCAAACAAGAACTTTTCTTCTTCATGTGAACCTAAGTGCCTTGTCTAGCATTCTCTCTCTCTCACTCACACTCACACACACACACACACACACACACACACAGTCCAATGGATCCTCAGAGTTCAGTATCATGTCCAAGGATACTCCAGGATGCAGACTGGAGAAGTTGGGGACCTAACTACAAACCTTCTGATTGGTAGATGAGCGCTGAGTCTGCTTTTTAAAAATGTTTTGCTTTTATGAGAATAAGCGTGAGTGAAGCATCTGGACATGATTGAGGGAGGCATGTAGAAATGAATGAAAATGGCTGTGAGGAAATAACCATAAAACCAAAGGGGGCGAGGTATTTGCCTGAGTGCATTAAAGAAATGGCTATTAATCACTGACATATTGATTCCTTTAATATCTTCATGCAGCCTAATGAATTATTGCTGAAATGGCTCAAGAGGTCAGCAGTTATCTTAAGATGTGGCTGATATTCAGAGGTATGAAGCTGTCTTTTGTGAATGTGAATGAAGCTATGTGACGGTCTTCTTGTTACTGCTGGACATAAAACTTATGCTTAGCCATGACTAGGTATAAAATCAAAATCTTGAGCTTCTGTAGTGCTCGTCTTAGTATCTAATGAGTTACAACAAGCAGAATGGTGGCAGAAAAAGAAAGAAAAGTGAGAAGAGTGGAGCTGATTGTGAGAGTCACCAAAAAGCTTTCACTGGACTTAGACTTGGTGTTGCACAACAACCCAGCAGCAGGTTGTTTTTTTTATATTGTCTAATAACACCAGTGCAGGTAGGGCTGTTCGATATA